CCATTATGGGTAACATGTATTTTGTTAGTCTCATAGTGTCTGTTGTAAAGTAATATTTACTGATGACGTTCGGAGCACAATTTATCCCTTAGTAAATATTATTGCATAACACTATAAGACTTCATTAAAATAAATTTTATCCACTGTGGAATTATACTCTGTTGATACTCCAACCTAAAACTGAGAGCTATTTTCATCACATGTGAGAGGAAGGTATGCTCTGTAGCACTGCTATACAGTTTTTATGCACTTTTTCATCAATATATGTATTCCATACACAAAGATGTCTCCTTCACGTGATTGGTGCACTCGAGATCATTCGCTGATTTGTAGTTAGTGGGTAGTGCTTAAAGTTTAACTTAGCCAGAATTTTCTTCGCTGAATTCATTACCTGCACATTACAGTGTTACATAGCTAAAAAGTCACTACTGTGTCTCTGTTTGAAAACTAAAATATCTTCAAATCTTATTAATGTGTGACTGGTCTTCTTTTTTACAGCATAATTAAGAATCAAGAAAACAAGCGCAATACAGCAAACAAGCTGGGGCATTATATACTACTGATATTATCTATATTGGTGCATTTTATACCCTAGTACAGGTCACGTGATAGGCTTTTATTTTTATTTCATTTTTATCTAATGTGTTGATAATCCCATGAAATGAAACTAATTGCATATAATATATAGAATTATATTAGTAAACTAATAATAATTGCATATTATCAAATAATCTATCTTAATGTAGAATGTACTAGACAAAATATGTTATACACGTAAAGTAAATAATGACGTTGAAATACATACTAGGTAGCTAATGGCAAGCCTAGAACCTAAGTTCCCTGCGCTACTGATATTCCTCACCAAGATGTATCTGCAGGTCTGAGGCAGCTGATGTCCCCACTGAGATAGGAACATGCTCCACCCATTACTGTATTCAGTGACGTTATCCCTGAGCTGACGACTAATCTACTAAGATTTACACTTACGAAATCATATCCACAGACATTCATTAAAAAAAATTAATTACGATAGTTATGTAGTGAGTTCTACTGGTACTTGGTGTGTACAGTGAGATTTTAGTCGTCACAGCTGATTTATCGATTGAAATTTACAGGGTATATATAAAAACTTCAGCTGCGATTGTCGAGCATACTGACTTGATTTAATTGAATTTTAGATTTTTCCCATCGATTGATTGGACCGAAGTGCTCGGTCTCAGGTTGACATGTCGGCTTCTTGAGCTTCTTGCTCAAGAATCAATATGACCCGTTGCACAAGAGGTGGCTCTCGTTGCCCAAGTGGTCTAGTGGATAACGCTTTGGCGTTGGAAACTATAGGCACTGGGTTCGAGCCTCGGTGGGAACATCATCACTCACTGAGAAATGCAGGTACATCCAGTGACGAGTCCCCAATAGGACGAAATGCGTATCCTGGACTCCACTGCTAGTCACCATCCACCAATTAAATAATGACTTGATGTTTTCCCGTAATGTTTTCTGAGAAATTCCTGTTCGTATTCACAAGTATCACTGGGATTCTATTCAGTTAAATATGAGTAGATTTTGTGTACTTGAAATCTTAAGTTTTCTTAACTTCTGTAGATCAATAATTTTCCGAAGCTTTTGAATTTCATTTCCTTTATAAGGAGGTATTTAGCTATTTGCTGATGCTCATTCAATCTATTTTTAAGCAGTAGTGATATCTCATCTACAAGGCTGAAGGAAAACCTCTTAACACACGGCTTTGGCCACATATTTACTATTAATACTACTATTCTAGTGGGTTCTGAGTGGAAGAAAGAGCTTCAGCAGCACATCTCCATTTCATTTTATCTCTCTGGAGTCCTCTTCAGCTGACTACATGATCGCACATAAGCCCTCATCACATGATGTTCTCCATGTCACTCTTGGACACTTAACTTATCGTTTCTCTTTTGGGGTTCCACTTGAATGTCTGTACGGCAATGTGATATCCCTCAGAGGTCTTCTCAGAGTGTGTCCAATGCATCTCCACCTCCTTAAGCATATTTGTTAGGCAGTAGGTTATTCTTTGGTTCATTTCTAGAGTTCTTTATCGTTAATTCCTCCTCACGGATTATATGGTCTTCACTAAAGTACGAAGGCAAATGTTAATAAAAGGTTGAAGGTTGCTCAAAATGCCTTTGGTGATGGGTACACGAAGTCTCTGAACCAAATAGAAGAAGTGACTTGATATTAGTGTTTAGAATCAGAATTTTGTTTTTCAAGTATTGGTTTGTAGGGGTTTGATTGATTGGTTACAGGACTTCATCATGAGCTGACATCGGTTAGAGAACCATTGGAAAACCAGCTAGGGGTATTGGACAGCCAGCTGTTTCGTCAGCTTAGTTTGGGGCTCTGCTTCAGCCGTATGCACCCACCCCACAGACACGGTTCCAACCAAGGACAATACGGTTACAAGGCAAGCTAGCTCGTGGACCATTCGTCAGCCACTGGGACCCAATCCAACGGCCATCTCATGAATTCCAGCTTCTGCCAGGTCGTAACCAGTGGGGTACAGCAAGTTTGATATGTGAACAAATACTCGCCGCGCTATTTCGTGAATTGACAGGAGCTAGAAATCATGGGTTGGCCATTTAATTGGTTCACAGTGTCTAATGAATCATGTAAGCGCTAGCTCGCCTTGTAACCGGAAGGTCGTGGGTTCGAACCCTGGCTGTGGGATGCGTGCGTAGTACTGAAGCAAAGTCACAAACTTGGTCGACGAAACAGCTGTCTATCCAGTACTCCCTAGTTGGTTCCACTGGATCCCAAACGGCTGTCAGTTCATGATGAAATCCTGTAACCAACCAGGTATTTTTTGGTGTTATTACATCCTCTGAGTTGAATGGTTTCATTTGCAAAACGCTTTCATCGTCCTTCTTGATAACGTCTCCACAGACTAAACTTTTATAATTCTCCTTGCATGAATTGACTGTAATTCTTGATGACCGTGACCATTATCAACTTTTTGCTTCAGAAAACCAGCTCTCTAACTAAGTAACACATCGGATTTATCTCTTGTGTCTCACGAAGTCAACGATCTTCATGAAAAATCGACAAGTTGACATAAGAAGCAGAGAAGATAGAACTTCAGGCGAAGATAAAGATGACAGACGAAGAAAATACCTACCCAGCAATAACAAGCACCAATCCCTTCCTTGCCTAGGAAGCACTTCCACTTTACTTGCAGGCGGTAAGTATGAGGATGTTACAGCTAGCCCAGACTGGATTAGAAAAGCAAGACTGGTGTTCATTATTCTGAAACGGGTGTAGAGATCAACACTAAGCATAAGGAAAACAAAATGCTTATGTTGGACAATGATACTAAGTGAATGTTTTGATATGGTCCAGGGATTGGGTTCACTGGTCATCGACAGCATTCCTAATAGACTGCTGCAAACCTTGTGTTCCACACGTTCTGAGTTAAATACAGTTCATTCAACGACACATCTTCATTTAAATATAGCAAAAATATTCATTCAGACATCTATAAAACATAAATTAAGTGAGCAAAGAATATCCTTTCCCATAATTTCCTCTTCTGGCTCTACAATTACATATGCATGTTTACATACATAAAATATTCTAGAATAGTAGTCAATAACAATATTGGTGTATTTTAAATAATATCAATTTGTAAATTAAGATGACTATGGAATTATAGTTCGTTAAAGATGCTTAAATTATAATAATAATAATAATAGTAATAATAATAATAACGATATAGTAGTAAATTGAATATCAACTAAAATTAATTCCATCTAGGTTCGAATAATCCTCAGCTTTTGGAGGAATTTACTTAATTTTAGTTGATATTCTATTTGCTACAATATCTTTATTATTATTATTTTAGCATCTTTAATGAACTGTAATTCCATTAATCTTACTTTACAAATCGATATTATTTAAAATACACTAATATTGTTATTGACTACTATTCTAGAATATTCTATGTATATAAACATATGTATATAGTTGTGGGGCCAGAAGAAGAAATTTTCGAAAAGGATATTCTTTGCTCAATTATTTAGTGTTTTCTAGATGCCTGAATGAATATTTTTGCTATATTTCAATGAAGATGTGTCGTTGAATGAACTTTATTTAACTCGGACATGTGGAACACAATTTGTCAATCGGATGATATGATGCTTGCGCCATATCTGGAGCCAGAAGAGGAAATTATCGAAGCAGATATTCTTTGCTCAATTATTTTGTGTTTCATAGAAAATGAAGTCGTCGAAAAGAGAATTTTCTTCGCTGAATTATTTGTCTGCAATGTGGTCACCAAACTAGGTGACTCACTAGTAAGGTGCCATTTGAATCACTGTTTGATTACTGGAAGCAGTCAGCTCTTCTGGCAAGATTATTATAGGAGATTTATATATAAATATGTATATATATACTCAACAGAAGTACAATGAACTCACCGAACACCTACGCTCAGATAAGTATATACAACGACGATATGTGTTTGTTGACATACAGACGCCCACTCACACACCTACACACAGACAAGCTCATATAACCTACCTCAAGTTAAATAAACAAATCAACAAAATAGAAGTAAACAAAACTAATGAGTTAAATTCATATTTGTGTATTAATCGGTGCTTTGTGATTGGTTGACATAGTCACTTACTTTATTGAATAATCATTCTGTTTCAAAATCTACAAAATACACACAAAGAAAAGTTGGCAAAAACTGCATCAATTATTATTTAAAGTTCATTTGAACAAATTTTCAAAATGATTGTGTTTTTTTTCCTGCATAGAAATATTCAAGTTTATTTAATTAACTTTTTCATTTGCTTGTAATTTTTCATAATTACAATTTAAATTTGAAGTGAAATGAATTACGAGGTTTGGAAACCAGTGACCTTGAACACTTTGGACATGATACACTTAAACAAATAGCGTAACAAACTGTCTTATCACATCATTTATTATAATTCTTTTACAAAACAGATATTATATCAATTATGTCATTACGGCATTTATCTCCACGTAATAACCTCTATCAACCGAGTAGTATTTCATCTGAAAGGGATTATAATTACCATATAAAACATTCAAATAATTATATAAATACATTTGATAAATCATATCATAAATCTTCATCAATAAAATATAATTCCTATTTATCATATAATAAATTATTATTAGATAATTCAAAATTTATTGATTCAAAAAATCAATTGTTTACAAAACATCGATCAGCATTGATTGATAATAATATTAATAACTATTCCACATGTTCAATTCCCTCTAAATTACGTTCAATTTATAATTATAGTAATAATACATTCATCAGTAATGTGATCAATAAGAAGAGTAATGATAATAATAATAACAATAACAGCAAAAATAGTAGTAGTAGTAATAATAATATTAGTAAAGATCAACATGGGTTATTGGATAAAAAATCTTATAATCATTGTCATTCACCGATAGTACATGCACGCAATACTATTCGTAATGATGGTTTTAGCTTTTTAAAACATTTACACAAATCTAAAAGACATGCAAATATACGTAGTTACAATAATGTCGGTAACAATAATAATAATGATACGTTAATCAATAATTCGTATGATGATGTGTTGAGTTTGAGTAGATTTGATGGAAATAATATTTCTATGAAATCGGTAAGTATTTTATTGATTGAATAATTGATTTTATTCCTATTATCCCCTGTGGTTCTAAGTAGAATCTAGGGTTTCAACAGTATATCTCCTTCTGACACGATCTCTTTTGTACTGTCCTCGGACATATGCCTAAATTATCGTTTCTTGTTCGTATTTCTCTTGACAGCTTGATACAGCTTGATGTCATTGAACGATCTTCTCAGACTGTGTCTGATCAGTCTCCTATGTTTTTCCCGCATATTTGTCAGGCAACAGGTTCTTGGTTAGATTTTTGCTAATCCTTTCTGGCTGTCTATCTGATTTTCACTATGGCACAAGTGAAGGCAGCTGTTGACGAAAGTCTTCGGTGACCATCAACTTGACATTAGTTATGAAAATCCGAATCTTGTTCTTTAGGCTGAAGATTAAACAGTTGGCTGGGACATTAATTTATTCATTCATTGTAAGTGTTGAATTGTCGAAAGAGGGAATTATTCAATGCAAATATTTCAATCACGTATCGGAATAGTTTAATTTAGGCATCAATACTGCGATTATAAAGTTTCATGGTGAAGTACAGTGAGTGCGAACCTACAATTGATTATTTTACCTCGCTGATAGACTGTGGAGTAAGATATTCAAATGTAATACTAAGTGACACGGATTCATACGTGGAATTCTAATGAGGTTATAGATGAGTACTGCTGACAACTGCTTATAAATGTTTTTATTCCTTTACGTTCTCAGTGGAACATAGGGTAGTTTCAAGCTAGAGACTTGAAGTTACGGTAGCAGTAGTGTTTATTTTTACGGGATGAGGTTGCTAGCCTCATGCCCAAACCTTCCTTCTTTACCACTCTTATTACTGGCTTAGCGAGGTAAAGGAATGAGTCGGTCGGGGACCGAACCCCGGACTACACGCATGGTCGGCGAGCATTCTGCTGCTGTGCCACCAACGCAAATACCGAAATTGCTAACTAATAAGTGACATCATTGAGTAATGAAATCAACTTCAGAGGAAGAGTTGTATGCACTTGCTTGTTTAAAAGCATTTTTAAAGTCCATTCTGCGAAGAAAATTTTCTTTATCGACGGAATCATCTTCAGAGGCTGTACAGTCGTATTTGTATTAACCAAAAATGTATACTAGTCTATTAGATGGTAACGTCTCTGACTGCAGCACTGGGTGACGCGGGTTAGAATCTCAGAAGGGATATGAGTTCCTTCAAGGTTGCAGATACGCCTTGCTGGTGAGTGCCAACTAGCCCGAAACCTAGGTATAGTCAACGCTTCCTACCGATTGCCTCTAACCACCTAATACCATCAAATCAATTTGCACCGTGATCGTGAGCCACCTTGGATTGTGGTCATATTGCAAACTTGGCTGACTGATAGAATTCCGTCTGCAGCAAAGAAAGGACTAGACACATAACACTAGTTACTAGTGTCCAGTCAAAATACTAGTCTGTTATTAAGTAATGGGGTAGGGTTGACATAACTGATACAATTACTCAGAAGTGGCTTCAAAACCAAAAATAAAAGTCGTAAATTACGTAATACTCAACGCCACAAAAAGGAAGAAAGCGTTAGAAATTTGATAAGGTCAAAATTGTTATTGAGGGAGAAGAAAGGTAGTTGAGTATCCATTTACTAAGTGTGAAAAGAGTGAGAAAATTTACAAAAGGAACATGTCAGAGTGATAATACTGAATTGAAAATTAAAGTATAAGGAAACTAATCATTAAAATAAAAATAATTTACAGGGAACGACTAATGAAGGGGTTAAGATCATGGTAGAATAAGAGACTGGACAAACTTTTCCTGCATACAGAGTTCGAGATTGTATTGACGAATTACCAAAGCCTCCACCATACACAAATGCCGAAACCTGACACCCTTTGTACCATTTGGTCTCACCTTGTAGATAATCTTGAAAGACGACTCTGGTGGAGCTACGTGGCTTGAGTTCACCAAGTACTCGAGAATTGAGCTAGTAACTGTCTTGCATTGTGCTTTTACTAACCACAATGGAAAATGTTCAGAGATGCGTTCATTCTATCAGACACAATGACAAGTGGATCATCACTTCGAAGGTGAAATAGAGGAGATGGTGTGGCGAGTATGAGATGAGAGATTATGGGCATTCGTGTAGCTAGCCAGCTAAAGATCACAGCAGAGAATAGAAAAGAGTGGATATATGTTGTTGAAGCCCTATATTCCACTCAGGAACCAAGGGAGTAATAATCTTTCTTTTATTCCTTTACGTTTCCAGTGGAACATAGGGCTTCAAGCTACAGCTTCGAAGTTTCAACAGCGGTTTTTAATTTTTTACAAGATGGATTAGTCAGCCACATGCTCAACCTTCTCTCTTTACCACTCTTATCACTGGCTTAACTAGGTGAAGAAGTGCATCGGCAGGGGTTCGAATCCCAGACCCCATGCGTGGTTGACGAGCATTCTACCGATGTGCCACCAACGCATGTAATAATAAAACATGTGTTTTCTGGTAAAGATTGGATAGTAATAATAATAATATGAGTATCACCTGTGACTACCTCTGTGCGTCGGTGGCACAGCGGTTAGGACTCTCGCCGACCATGCATATAGTCCGGGGCTGCCGACGCACACCTGATATCAATGGTCGGCCTGCAAAATTTGGGCTACCGATATCACATGCTGAAAATTTCATACTTGTACCAAAATATGGTGTGGAATCAAGCTATAATCACAACACAACGATACAGGAGGTCACCTGCAGTTCTAGTGAGAATTCGGGGTCTACTGAGTCGGGTAACAGGACGGCTACTCGCCGATGACACTGGTTGACGATTGTGTTGAAAATGGCGAATTGGCCGAAGTTGGGATTCATTGGCCAGTGGATTGGGTCCCACTGGCTGAATGGTCGACGGGCTTCTCTCGTTACCCAAAGATCATGCGTTCAATGTCCGGTTGAGTAATAGATTTATACCACTAAGGAGTCCTAAGCTATGATGAAGCGGCCATCCAGTATTTCATGGTTCCCAGTCGTTCTCTAACTGATGTCAGTTTGTGATCTAAACTGAAACTTGACATATACATATATACTTTGTAGAAATATGATAGATGATGAATAAATGTTTACTGGGTTAATTTATCGATTAAATCTTGAAATAATCAATAAAGGTAATCAATTAATTCAGTTTATCAGTTAACCTTGAGTGTGGGTAACGTTTTGATTGGAAATTTTGAACTGGGAAAATTTATGCTGTGGAATTTTCAGTATTCTTTTTCTCTTTTTTATGATGGAGCAATGATAAGATCAAAGTTATTGATTTTCATGGATTCAGTCTATGAAATTATGTTTATTCACTCATCAATGTAGGTTTCTTAAACAATCGCCTACGGGCACAAACAGATATTCACACGAAAACACAAAGATTAACAAATAAAAAAAGAACATACGAAACTAACGAAGTATTTTTTCTATATACAAAAGAAAAATTAGATTTACCATTTACGATGAGTTTTTATCATAATTGTGGTTTTTTGTCTATAGAAACCTTGAGTCACCAATTGATTTTGTTCCCTTTTTTAGGCGTTATACAACTTTTCTCGTTAGAAAGCCTTAATTCGTTCAGAATAAGGCTTCAGCCTTGAGTTTTCATTAGCCATGATGTTTCATTTTAATGCGTTAGTGTTGCCAGCCTCATAAGCAACCTTCCCTGATTACTAAGACCTACGACCGACTACCACTACACTGAGGGGAGGTTTTAGGAGAATTTAGGGTCGGAGATTGAACGGCGGATCACATGAGGCGTGGTTGGAGAGTATTCTGTCGATGCACAAGACAAGTTAAGTTAGTAAATTTATATTAGTAATCATATTTTTGGCTTTGCAGAGATTTGGATCAATATCGTCATGAACCCAAATCAATAAGAGAGTTTTTGAAAACCCAAGGGCACTGGATTGTTGCTTTATTACCTCAAGATACTGGAGTTGATCGCTGATGAGGCATGGGTACTACTACTGAGAGGTCACAAACTAGGTAGAAACAGATATCCAGGGTTCTTTGATTTTCAATCGTTTTGGAACTGGTATCGGTTCCTGACGCGACCTACACTGAGATCTGTATTATTACTGTTTTACGGGAAAAATGTAGTAGGAAATTTTAATCAGAGGTTCATTCTTAGGAAGCAAAAACACGCGATAACAGTCACACACACAGGCACAAATAGGGAATATTATAGATAGATTTCCTTGAATCAAAATTAAAATTCAGTCTGAACCTATGGGCACTGGGTTCGAGCCTCGGTGGGAACATCATCACTCACTGAGAAATGCAGGCACATCCAGGTGACGAGTCCCAAATAGGACGAAATTCGCATCCTGGATTCTACTGCTAGTCACCATCCACCAATTAAACATTGAAATATTCTACAAAAAGTATAAATAGTAAAGTTGAGTGAAGTACGCCTCAATTCTCTAAAGCATATGAAGCACTGATTCGATATTGGTGTTGAAGATCCGGTTGTTGTTCAAGTTAGAACACGAATCGATATTCAACTTCCGTCTGTTTGGGATATTTGCCACCACCACCGTCAATCCGTGATCAAACTTGAAACCATTCAAATACACTCCGCTTTAAGCCAACACTTAGAAATCAGTCTAGTGCTCAATTGACTGACTGAATGACTGCCTGATTACAGGATGAGGTTGTCTGAAATGTCATACTGGGAGAAGTCGTGACCAGTGGGGTTCACCAAGTAGAACGGGGTTGTTAGGACAAATACTCATCGATGAAATTGGTTTGTATTGGTGGGTGGCGCTATGTATCTTATGAATCAGTAGAAGTTGAAATTCACAAGCTACTTATTGGATTTTGTCCCAACGTTTGCTGAATCGTCGACGAAGTCACAATGGAACTTGAGTATCCTCGGTTCAATCTGTGTCAGTGGAGTCATGAGTGCGTATTGTTGTGAAGCCAGTCAAAACTAGGGCAAAACAGACGTCCAGTGTACTCATTGTGAGTCGGTGGCACAGCGGT